GCTGGAGTTGAACGCACACAGGATACCTAACGGAGCCGAATCCATTAATCATGCATGAGAAATCAGAAGAGACACCGTCGCGGACGTCATTTCGCCAACGTTGCTCCTGACTTTTAATCTTGCAAAAAGGACCGATTGTCAGATTCTTCTTCCATCGACGATGAGAAAAAAGCTCTCTCGCGCGTCCCGCACGCGTCCCGTTCTTTGTACCGCGTCAATCGAAACCTACCATCCTTCGCTCGATAGTCTTTCAAATCGCACACACGTATGACTCGGCAACCCATTTACATTACATCGAAGTTTAATGCCCTCTTTTCGTTGCGGAATCAGCGTGTACCCGCAACCGTGGTCTTTGTAAATTCAACATTTTTCTTTGACGTGCTCACTCCGGCTGTTTCGTTCGGGATAAAGCCGCGGCGGGACTGTTAAGCGGATTTCGCGGAACAAAAGAACATACGGATTCTTACGGCCAAGTGAGATGTTGGCCGGATCCCATACGGAAGAGGCGACCATTATACGTTTTTCGTCCCTCCCTCCCCCTCCCCCCACCGAACGAGATGATGAGATCCCGATGCGTACCATGTGTTTTGGATGAGAGATAAGTGAGAGCGGTGCCGCATAGGTATTAAGTATAATTTAGTGGATTACCCTCCTACGGACACACCTTTCGACCGGCGAAAAGGAGAGGAAGACACCGAAGAGGGTGGAAACGGTATCTTGTTATGCAAGGTGGGACTAACGTTACCGCTGTATGAGTGCGATTATACCGGGGGTACCGGCGCTGTCGTGTCTCTCGGCGGAAGGAAACACTGAATAATAAGAACGAGACAGCCGGGCAATTACGGCCGCTGTTTAGGGCCTTCGCGTGCGATATGGATAGACGATGCTTCTCTCAGCCGCCGACGCGTATTAGACGGTAATTGTTGGCGATTATCCGCAAGCGTGAAAGTTTATAACGATAATACATCGTTACACGTCACGAATATATATATATATATATATCCGCCGTAAAATGCGCGTATTGCAACGGCCGGTCGCGACGTAACTCTCGTCGATTTATTATTATTTCCCTCCTGCTCGTTAGGCTTCCATGACACGCGCAAAAACGCGCAAGCGGTAAGACGTAAGCGGTAAGCAAATTGACCAATCAGAGTGGGTTATTTTTATACCGTAAGGGGAATAATTGGCTGTGATTGGTCAATTTTCTTGCTGCTTACGATTTTTCTATGCGTCACGGCTCTTACCCTCCGTATTGAAGCAGGCATTTTTACGTATACGAGCGAGGGAATAAGAGAGAGAAAGAGAATGGCTGTAGAAGTGAGGAGGCGGAAGACCGTGCGAAATTACAAGACACGTGGAGCTGCGCTCGACTAAGGGACGCGGATTTTGTTGATCCTCGTGGCGACAAATATTTTCGATTCGTTCGTTCGCACCCAAAAAGGGATCCGCCGATTCAGACGCGCGACTCAGGCGCAACGAGGCGTGGGAGCTTCAAAGGCGCGCGAAGCGCCTCCGTGGAATAAGAGGATAATGTGGACACGATTTGACGTCTTTGAATATTTAATATCGCGCGCCTGAAGCCGTCTCATCACTCGCGTCTTACGACGGATCAGACGCTCTCTACCATTGAAGTGGAACTAACGAAGGATCATGTCATCCGTGAAGTAACATCGGCCTGCATGACTGATCACTTCCCGATCGTTCGATATATAGACATCTTTTTCTGCGCGAAGTGCTTGCTTGGATTCTGCTTTTTTTTTCGCTCATTTCTTCCCTCGCATCATCGTCAAGGATAAAAAGACGGCAGCTCTTACGGTAAGGTCAAAAGTGACAACTCTTATAGGATCGTTATTCCAACGTGAAAATGAGAATACGCGGGTATCCCGGCGTCCGTAAAATTCGCATGAGAATTCACGTCAAATTTCTCCAGCGCATCCATCTTCAGCGCCGCTCTCACCTTTCTCGTGTCCCACCTCGACGAGCGCGAGATTCTCGCGGCCACGTCCCCGCTCCCTTGCGTCGTGTGCACCGACGCTTTATATTTCAAACGTTGAACGCGAACGGCAGTGAGACGGCAGTTTACGGTTTTTCCGGCGATTTGCCGGCTCTTCACCGGCACGCATCTCCCGAAAAGACGGCGGCTCGGATGAACCGCCGGTGGAGTAAGAGCGGTCGCAAGAAACGACGATGGCGGCAAGGGAAACGACCGAATAGCCTCATGCAATTCTAAACTATTTCAATGAAATGGGATAGACCGACCGGCGGATTTGTTGGTCGCGGCACCCGACCGACCACCTTCGCGTAGGGCAAGGCGAGACCTAAGAAAAGCCACGCTTCCACACCGGCTCGCCTCTCTCCCTTTGTTCTAAAATTCTTACGACTTCCCTTACCCCCGACTGCAACCCTGTCGCTCTGCGAACAACAAAGGAAGTGGTCTGTAGCCGGCTACGGCGGTATTACCTGGTACCACCGCGCGCGCGTCTGCGAGGATACAAAATTGTCTCCACTTCCGCGTTACCGCGAGACACTTTGTACCGTGGCCTGGATGCAACTTTCTTCCTCGCGGCTCGGGACCCCGGCTCGGCTAACTCAGAGGATTTTCGCATTAGCATATCGACTTATTCATATACCACGCTTGACTTCGTTGCCGCAGCATCCTTCGGACCGCATCCTGCGACGACGCGCGTAGTCGAGAACTCCGGCGTATTTCGGCCTTTCAGAAATTCTCTATGGCGTGTCCGCCACGGCGAAGCGATACACCGCGATTGCAAAGAGGATTCCGACAGTGCGACGTCGTTATCTCATCTGTGTCGATCTTCTCGCAAAGCACACGCGCTTCCGGCGAAAGATAGATAGATTAGATGCGCTAAGCTCGATTCTTCGTTCATTGGTAGTCGCGTGTCGCATCGGAAATGTGAGACTCGCGATTGAAAGTTGCAGGTGGTACACGGAAGGATGATAATTCGATCGGCATAATCGCGTTCGCTATCCTTCGTCCCGTGCTCGACTCGTACAAATAATATGAATAGTCACCTAGAATAACAAGATTTCGCCTGTGCATTATAATTAAATTTGCATGCACTCAGTAGACCGCTAACCGAATTTTCGCTAACGAAATGATTTAGTCGGAATAATCGTGTTAACCGTTTCACTTCAATTAACGTTCGTTTGCATCAACTATGAAACCGGGACGTGGCATTGCGCATGTATGTCGAAGTTCAATTATTAGCATTCTTCTATTTCAAGTAATACGGTCCCCGCTCTACACGCGATTCCACTTATCATTTGTCCGTGTAATTGACAAAGACGATCCGTATGGAATTCGAAAAGTATTTAATAGTAAAGTGAATTGTTCAAAGTATAATTAGAAAAACAGAGATAAATTGAAATTATGAAAAGCGGAATCTTCTTATTAAGTTTCGTGATATTTCTTGTGTCATCTCCGCGTTGCTTTTAGAGATATTTATAAATTGTTCTCTAAATTTCTTGGAAATCTTTCCTTTCGAAAAATGAAGTGGCAACCAAGTAAATCAAATTGGAATGACTTTTCATTCTTATGAAGTATTCTTTCTCTTGTGGGAAGTGAATATTCATTTCGTACCGAATCTAACCTAATCTAATAGCGTATGTTATAAGTAACAAGATGATCACGCCTTACTTGATACTCGCCGTTATGTTCTTTTCTTGGTTCACAATTTCAGTTCACAATTACGTTTATTACTACAATTTTTTACTACACTTCATACAGAGAAAACGTAAATCTGAATAAAAATATTTAAAAAGCTATTTAATTTCTCTTTTAAATATTATTAATATTTAAAAAGTTTTACTAATTTACGAGATAATGTATTTCTATTATAAAATATAAAGAGTAAAGTGGGAATTCTGTTGGGTTTGGGATTGTAGACAATATGAAATTTACTTAACAATCAAAGCGAGGTGGCGTGGTGTGACATGTAGCAGACTTAAGATCGCGAAATTTTGGATTTAAATCCAGATCGTGGTAAGTAATTTTTTCAAATACAGCGGAAATGGAATCAATTAAAATGTATATAATTGAGAAGATTTTGAGACAAAATCATTGATGACACCTTAAGAACAACGCAATAAAAGAATATATTTTACGTGTTAAAGAATGTAAATTAAAAGAATTCACTCTATTTATGACGGCCATGAAAAATTTTACAGTAAAAATTCACTTCAATCGAATGAAACATTCCAAACGAAAAGTTTATTCTACGGTTGGAACATTCACTCTTGTGAAAAGTGAAGTGTCATTCCATTGCGATCGGCAGTAACTTTATAATCGCCTGAGTTCTCACTCGTTTGAAATGAGATTTCAATCCAAGAAATTTAGACATTAAGCTGTCAAAATTAATCATCCAATTTTACATACACGAGTCTCGATCTTAATATCACGTTTTCTTTACGATCAAATGCGTCACGAATGATATATTTTTCATCAGCATTTCGTGCGCGCTCATTGATAAACGGGGCGTGGAGCTTCGATAATCGCATGAGAGATCCGTCGGAAGATTTGCTCCGAATCGAAGGGAGCTTATCGAAGATTTTCCGGATACGGCGAAAGAGAGAGAAAGGTGCGTTCGGCATCCCCCGATCAAAAAAGCGAGGAGAAGAAGAAAAAAGAGAAAAGCGCGCGGAGCTTCTTCATAATTCAGACGGCGCCTTTGAAAGTGCCGTAAAGTCCGACTTGGAGCATCCGTTCGCCCCCGTGCTGTCGCGCGACCTAAAATTTTTCATGGCCGTCATAAAAAGCGGGGGCGCGCGAGGGTTACGAGAAATATCGAGGGCTGACGCTTCCTCGCTTGTTCGCGGCGAGCAAGTAACTCCGGATTGTGTGAGGAGCCGGCCGTGGATCATAGAGTCGTGCCGCACGACTCTGGAGCAGCTCCGGCCGAGTGGAGCCGACCCCGGCCGAACGGCTCCGAGCGCGGCTGAACGCGGCAACGCGCGTCAGAGAGTAACAGTCGTGCCGCGGCCTCCGACAGGGGAGGTCTGTACCACGGTCGTTCGTCTCGTGATCTGACGATAGTCCACGGTGGGTAGCGTCGCGACACACACACACGCCGTTCAAACGTCAGCGGTTCCATCATGTTGTGACGTAGCACTCGCAACGTCGCGTCGCGTCGATCGTCTCGTCATCGCGAAGATGTACGCGCGATAGGGGATAAAAGCGACGCGTTGCCTCCGAGATCGCGACCACCGCCACTCGCGAGCAACAGATGTGACATCGTACGCGGCTCGTTCTTTATATTTAGTTGATCAAGATTTCCTCAGTTAGTAACACACGGTACGGCACGCTCGGCAACGCTAATGACGGATCTCGGGCGTTTCACTGACGGGAGATAAAGGGAAACGTTCTCACTGTTCGGGGACCGAGTCGTGGATGGATAACATCGGCCACCGGCGGATAAATAAGAAAAATCACCGCGGAATCCACGCTCTCTCGCGATCGCTGCGAGAATCGTTCGCCGTTGCGCCGTTCTAAGGGCTCACCTGCGGCTTCGCTCGAGGGCACCGGAGCGCGCACGAGGAGAGTAAAAGGCGAAGGAAGAGAATTCCTTTGTCCTCCGTGGCGGAGCGAGGTGGACGAACAGTGGAGAGAGGGACGGCCGAACGGAGCAGCACGCGGTCGAGTTTCTGCCTTGGAGTATACCTGTCAGTGAAGCTCGACAGAGACGGCTGTTAAACGAGAGGAGAGAGACGCCCGGTGAACGGCCGTCGTTGTCGTTGCCAGCGGCAAAGGGCAACAACCACGCTGCGGCTGGAGTCTCTACCTACTATCCAAGGCCAGGGCGTCGCGGCCCACGCGGTCCTTTGTAACCACGACGCGTCATCCGCGGGCTCCGAGAAGAAGTAACGCAGTGACGATCGATCGCCCCTGTGTGATCGCGCGAGATGCCCCGGAATCATTAGCGACCAGCGCGCCCACTTTTCCTCGCTTCTTCCCCGGCGATTTCGGGCGGGAGTGAAGGTGCTTCGGTTTCTCTCGTGATCATGCAGCGGCAGAGGCTATCGGACGCCATGACGATGGTTAGGGCAGCTGTTCTCGCAGCTGTCCTGGCGCAGCTACTGGGCCCTAGCGTGGCCAACAGGCCCGCCGGTGCTCACCCCGGACACGCTTACTTCGAGCAGCCATGCTGCGGCCGATCCCACCTCAGACATCACAAAGGTCAGATATTATTGTTAAGCGTTATTTTGCTATACAAGCCAAAGAGAAGTCCACGGTGACCTCCGTGATATCACGAAGGAATATCATGATACGCGTTGGCTCCTAAACGCCTCGATGTTTACTTTCCGAGTGTCCTCTGCCCGGAGCGGCAGAGTGTATTGTTGTTACGCGAGCGGAAACAATATCGTCACGATCGTGATGAGGCGCGCTCTCGGTGATCGGATCGGTGTGATTATTGGCAGGTGCCTGTGGTCAGAGCGAGAACCGTGCTCGTTGAAAATGAGGAGCCGGCAATGGCGATATTCCCACGGGAATATTTCAACCAGCTGCCGATTATTTCGGTTGCGGTAGGACAGGCTCGTGGCGCGCGAACGGAAGCGGAAACGGACGGAGCGATAGCGACGGCCACGTGGTATCGTGATTTTTCGCCCTCATCGACTGTCGAACGCTCGCCACTGTGACGGAGGCGCATGTTTCGCATTGAGTTTCCCATACATCCTCGCGAGATAATCACACACACAGGCAATGCCGGATAACGCGGAAGTTGTAACCTGCACTAGGATATATTACGCAACATTTGTTGGGCGCGCGTACGATATTTCCGATAGCAGGCGGAAGCGATACGCGGAATAAAAGCAGTCTGACGTGCCGTTACGATATTCCGAATGCGATGCGCTGGGAAAAAAATATTAACGGCGTTATTAATATTAGCCAGGTGATCCGGCAGCGGGGATGCGTCGAGCGCGTTTCTCGCCATCTCTCACGTTCTCTTCGGAGATGACGTCAACGCGTGAATCTCGCGGCAATCGAACGCGCGCACCGATCGCGAGTAATCGCGGGAAATCGGTCGCGATTAATTTTGCAAACGCGCCGGCCAAATTATACATCGGCTACTTTGCGCATTATTTCGCCGAGACTGTCGGTCATTTGCAACAGAAATTCGCGCGAATGAGCGAACTCGCACACGCTACGCGCTGCAAAAGGCGCTTGACGAAACACAATTGGCGCGTCCCGCTCAAGCAGGCGGATTTTAAAGGAAGCTTATCCACGTAGAAAAACTTAGGCAGTTCGCTTTCTTTCGTAATCACGAGTGTATCTCGTGGCAATAAACTCTCGAGCGGTTCGATTCACCGCCAAGGTCGAGCGACCATGCGTGGATCCTAGACGGTCCTCGTTAGTGTAGACGATGAGTTAGGATTTGAGCTCGGCGGGTATACTTGTTATGTACAGTGCCGTACATTAACACTGTTCTACTTCCTAGGCATGTAGCGATATGGGAAATCTCGAATTAGGCGTATCGTTTCTGAACATTCGTGCATCGTGACCGCTGATTCCGTGAACCGGCAAAGATGCTCCAAAGCATCAGTCTCATGAAGCACTCAGAAATGATGTGTCTAATTCCGGCCATCATTATGGCTAGGAAACAGGACTAGCATTAACGCACGACACTGTACATTTTTCTTCCTCTGACTGTTTTTCTTCCTTCTGACTGTTTACATTATTTACTTTGACACGTAGCGATTACACGACAACGAATCCGTCGAAGAAAAACAAAAGCCATCTGCGAGGAATTGAGACGACGGAAATGGGGAACTGGAAAGTGAGGGACGGAGAGAGTTTGAACATTGTTTTTTTCGGAACATTAACAGTGAAATCAGACACGCGCGATAATTTTTATCACCAACATAATCCTCTCCTCGAGGAGATTTCGTCCGTGTTATTTCCCGCCGTCTCCTCTGCAAAAATCAATTATCGTTTTCGTTTCGTGTCACGTCTGCATTACCCTCGGTCGATTTAATTTACGCCCTCGTGAGACGTGATTTCCGTCGGATAACAAAACCTCCGACACTTCCGGCAAGGCGCGAAATCTCTCTTCGCGTCGCGATACACATCCGGGATTAAATTTCCCGCTGTTGTTCTTGAGGGATGCTACTCCCCTCCCTCCCCCTCTTTAGCGCCGCTCGCGCTTCGTAATATAAATCGTTTTAAGAGAACGGACGGTACGAGCGGTGCGTAAAAACGAACGTACCCCGACATGCCCGTTAGCGTACATCACTAATATTATCTCGGGGAGGGCCTTGCCACGCGATATTACGGGGGCTTAGAACGCCAGGCTGACTTCATTATGTGCCGGGGGAGAGAGAACCGTCGAATGGAATGTGGAATGGTCGGTTGGCTGGTCGGACGGTTGGCTGGTTGGCTTGCTGGCTCGGGTCGTATGTGGAAGTCGAGTATCGCCGGTGCGTGCGCCGGCTCTCGCATGTGTTACACGTAAGCAAGAGACCGCACGCTGGGGAGAGACGCGTTGCTTACGATCGCCTCGCACGCACACATACGCACGCACGTGTATCCGCGCGAGAGCCCACGCGAGTCTCTTCCTACGAGAGAGAGAGACCGTTTTCCGGGGAACTTTTTTTGCGGATTTGCCACCGGCTAACCGGCTCTGTTTTCCTTGTCGCGCGCTGATGGCGGAATTTTCATTACAATAGCCGTTATTGTTGCTCGAGCTCGCCGTCGTTTCGGCGGAATGCGCGTACACGCGGAATGTCGCGCTCACGCGGCATTCGCCGAAGCGCGCGCGCTCCGTTCTCTCACAACCTGGTGATGCTCAGCGACACTCGTTCGGAGTTATCGTTGACTCGTTTCACCGCCGCGCATGCCGCGAATACCGCGACCGGAAGTACAACCGCTGCTACGGTCTTAAATGACCGTCTAATCTTATTTTTGCGCGCTGGTGTTCGCACTGCGACGCGTTTTCCATCGCGAGCGTGAGATATCGTATTAATACCGCGAATTGGCGCTGACGCGTGACCGTTACTTGAGAGACGCGCGATAAGATATTACGAATCTTCCTCAAACAGTCCTTGTCGTAGAAATATCGATGGCCGCTGAAAGTCGAAGCGATCCCGAAGCGAATTCCCGGGTTGGAATTTAAAATTTTAATAATTTCGAATATTTTCTGTAAACGTATAACATGCGACTTGGAATCATTCTAGAGGCTCTCTACAGCACTGTAATTATGTTCAAGTGTGTTATTTTTACACGCATAAACGTCTAAAAGTGACATATTTGATCGAAACTCTCTTCACGTGTTTCTTGCCGTTTTAGATTGCGTCATTCAAAACGTTTAATCGCACTAAATTATAAGTTAACACCGTCCAGTCGTGTGAAATGACGTATTCGAATTTCAAGCTGCAAGAGATGTGTAAGAAAAACCTCAGCTTTAGGGAGTAACACACTTGGATCTGCAGTGAAGTCTTTAAGTCTCATGTCACGGAGAAAACGGAAATAGGTTCCGAATAATTCGTAGCACCGAAAGGAGCACAATAGTAACGCTATATATCAGCCGGTTCTCCGATAAATCTGCCAAAATTAATGTAGAACTGAAATTTCGACTGGAGCGTGTTCCGAAACTTGCTGCGAAAGATTCAAGAACGCGTCGTGCGTCGCAGCGGCGTCGTGAGTCCTCCTTTTGCACATGTACCTTGCACGGGGCGTTAAGACCGTGCATAGTGTGTCTATTGCACTTGAGCGCGCAGCACAGCGCATTGATCTAATCTGTACTTGCGGGTGGGTACCTATGCCACGAAGCGATCATGAATCCCGAGCCCTTCGTATCGGATCTCTGGTAACTAACGGAACGGATATTAATTTCGACGGGCTTCTCAAACCGATCTGCTGATCCAATTTGCACGCATATTTGACGTGTAACCCGCCGTACACGCACGCGGGTAATGAAGTTGCTCGAAACTCCATACGACTGTGTCCCGTTGTATTAAACCGCGCGCGTCTCGAGATACCAATAGCCTCGAGATTCGCGACAATAACGAGGGGCGTCCGGCCTCCTCGATCTCGGCACATTTGATCGGCATTCGAACGCTCGCTGACACGACGAGTGTCGAATTCGATCATAGATATGAGAATACGTAGACGAAGCATAAGACTCCGCTTTATGCACGATTATTGTTGGGTTACTGAATTGTTGTTGGGATAAAAACAGTGCGACAGTTCTCTGCATCGCACAGGACTGTAAAAATCTTAGTAACAATATCATACACATTTTTTTCAACTATTTCCACAATAATTCATCAATTCCACTCATTGTAGCAATATCGCAGAAAGCTGAAGTATAAGTATGCCCCCCCCCCTCCCCGTTCCGAATCTATCACCCTCGCTAACGTTCCCACCATATATTTTTACGTCCCCGAGTTGAATAAGTTTTCTTTCAGCGCGGCTCGAATGATATCTCATTATCCGTTCCTGTGGTTTATCTTTTCCTGCTTTTTCTTCTCCCCTCCTGTCTTCCGATTCTTCCATCCGCGTTCAAGTTTTCCTCGGCAGATCATCCTGCACGAAGCCTTAATTCGCCGGTAAATCCGTGAGATTCGGACAGCATCGGTCTCTTTGCACTACATCGAGATTTGCGAACGATGTTTGCGGAAGTAGCTAGGCAAAGAGAGAAGTAGGAAAAGCAAGGTGGAGAGGACGAAGCGCGGTCGGTCGGTCGTACGCGGACCGTGAAAGTTTTCCTTTGGTCGGCCAAAGGTCCCAAAGATTCCCGAGATTAAAAGCTCACGAGTCAACTGCATCGCGACCGGTGGTTCCTTACAACCGGCAGCCAGTATCCCTTTCCTGCCCGCTATCGCTTCCGTTAGGGCCGCGTAATGAGCGACCGCAGCCAAGAACTCATCCCGCGGTATTCGAAGCCGCGCATTCCTGCGGCCGGGTCAGCATGAATGCCGAGACACACTGTCTTTGGGAAGCCTGCGAAGTTGGATCATCAGAAGCAGCGGTACGCTTTCGTACCACGGCGAATTATTCCCTTTGAAAAGGCCCCTGCGAGCGCGCGTGTCTTCCACGGCCACCGAGTGAAAGGACGGGGCATAAACCCATGCCTCGACTCTTGCAAATCATTCCCGAAGTTTCGCTGGCCGATTCATCGTACAGAGAGAGAAAGAGAGGCAAGTTCGGCCGAAGCGCGCTACGATTTTCGCGAGTGC